TCCTCTCTCTCGTGATTTCGGGGTTGGCAATGGCGAAGATGGAGAAACCTGTCTTAGCTGAAGATAGTTTGTCTGAATCCGAAAAGGAAAATGCAGTCAGCGAAAGAGAGAACAGCCAGCAGTTAGATGAAGAAACGACCTCATTTGTTCACAGAAAGCTGCATCAACTCGAGTACGAAAATGTTAGTGTTTTTCTTTACCCTAATTTTAAGTATATTACTATGCTCTCTTTAATGCATTTGCGTGCTTTTTTTTTCTTCTATTTTTTGAGCAAATTTAATGTCGTTTTGGTCTTTTGCTGTTTTCGTTTGCTTTGGATATGAACTGAGAGATTTTGATGCTAAAATGAGTTGAAATTGTTAAGGATTTTTTTTTCCTCTGTTTTGAAAATAGCGAAATCAAACTGATAAATTGATAGAACGCAATGAATAGAGGCTCAGTATTGAACTTGAAATAGTATTTGATTGTAAAGGGTCTATGACATACAAGTAGTAAACCGTGAAGTCTTTTCTCTTTGTTCATTTCAGGTTGATAACAAGCAAAATTGCAATATTGAAAATTTACAAGTTATAGGAGTTGATCTTTTGTCGAAGATTCAGAATCTTGAGAATGGATTTGCCCGTGCCTTTACAGAATCCAGGATTTCTGAATTGCCTGTTAACAACATTGAAATGTGTAAATTAGTTGCGGAGTTGGATGAACAGATTCAACTTTGTTTAACCGAGTTAAAGCAAATATGTACTCTTAATTCATTTGCCAATCCTAAAGGAACTTGTGGTAATGATGGTTTGGGAATTTTGAAAAGTTCAGATTTGATTAGTCAAAAACAACAATTAAGTTCTATTTATCATGAAGACAGTGATTTGGTAAAGGAATTGTCAGTAAAAATACTTCAGATAGAGAAGCTTAAATCTGACAATTTGCTCAAGGAAAATGAGCTTGAGGCTTTAAGGCTTCACCTAAAAGATTTAGAAACTCAGCTTTCTTCTGTTGAGAAGGAAAAAAGGCAGTTGGAGGAAAATATAGAAATCATGCGAAGAGAAGTTGTTGTTACTGCTAAATTTTTGGATGATTTACGGAGCGAAATGATGGATCTTAATGGCAATATGGATTCCCAGATTTCAGTCAACAAAATTCTTGCAAAGAAATCTTCAGAACTTGAAAACGGAAAGCAGGTAGTGGAAGTTCATTTATCAGAACGGTTATGTGGTCTTGAAGAACAATTAAGGTATCTAACTGATGAGAGAGAGTCATTTTGTATGGAACTACAAACTCCAGAATCTCAAGCTGTGAATTTCAAAGGTGAGATAATGAGAAGATTGGAAGATGAAATGGAGGCACAAAAAGTTGATGTGGGACAGAAGATGGAAGAGATGAAAAGGCAATTGTCAGAAGTTCAAGAAGAGTGTGAGTGTCTAAAAATTGAAAATCTCAAACTCATTGAAGAATGTAATATGCTTCAGAAAGAAAATGGAGAACTAATGAAGCAAAAGATGGAGTTACATGTGCATTGTATGGTCTGGGAAGCAGAATTAAAAGAATCAGAAAAAGTTTTTTCAAATATACTGAACAAGGTTGACAACCTTCAAAGAGAGAACCAACTGTTAGAAGAAGAAATTTTGGCTCAATTACAGAAAAAATTATTCCTTCAGGATGAAGTTTTGGCTCTTAAAGAAGCAATTAGTGAAGCCAAGTTTGAAAATGAAATGCTGGAGGCTTCTTTCGTGATGCTATCTAGAGACTATGAAGAACTTACAGCTGAATCAAGTTTATTTGTTCAGAAAATCTATAGTAGCTGCAAATGTAGGAAAATTGCCCTTGAAGAGGCCCTGGGAACTCAAGAAGCTTTGCTGGAAAATGGTGCGGCCCAGATTAGTAGAGAAAATCACATACAGGTTAATGTTGCAATCTTCGTTTTTCAATTCATGCTAGTTGATCTTAATCTTTTACATTAGGTACCCATAGGTTTGCAAAGGTTCTCTATACAAGAGATGTAATAAGTTGCTTAAACGACTAATCTTTCCCCGTATGTTTCAGGTTGACAACAAGCAAAACTGCAATACTGAAAGTTCTCAATTTATAGGAGTTGAGCTCGCAGAAGGTTTAGAGGCAAATGACATGTATAAGTTCCAGCTTAATAGGTGGGTACAAATGGTAGATTTCCTGATCCAAAATATTAGAAATCTTGTTTTCATAAACCTAATATCTAAAATGGGGTAAATAGTTTTACTTTTAAATGAACAATTGATTATCAATAAAAAACTTTTATGTTCCATCATGATGTTTTAAGATAAGGTTATTGTTTTTGTAATGAATTTGTCTCAAGTAAGTGTCATGATAGCAAACAGTTACTTACACAGCTTCTGGTTATAATTAGAAACCAGTTTTCAGTCCGAAGCTTAGGATGCTTTTGCAATGCATTAAGTCAGTTTGATAAAAAGGTTAGATAAAAGATCCAAATCTGATGATAGGCTTTTTAAGCAAATATCCTTCTTGGTTTGGGATGATGCTGGATATTCTGATTCCTTGAACAACGTAAAAGAAAACAGAGAAAACATGTTTTTTGTGGAGCCTTAATGGTGCTTTTGCAACCTCAAACTTTAGATACATTTCTCTCTAGTTAGAAAAGAGGGTGCGGAAAGAAATATAATAAAAATAAGGTTGAAGTCAAAGATTGGTTCCTATACTATCTCAATATTAAGGATTTAATTCCCTATACTATAATTTCAACTGTTTTAATTCTTATACTTTCTTTAAATGTCAGATTGAGGATAATTGTTGCTAGTGTGAATACTTAGTCATTAAATTTGTTGATGTGGCCTTATCTTGGCCACGTAAACTTTTTTTGCCAACTGGCCACTCGGGTCCTAATAGTTATTCTTTTGAATTTGCTGATTGTAATAATTAATAATAATTCATAATTAAAGAAAACTGAAAAAAAAGTATGTGGCGAACTGGCAAAAAAGCTGAGATTTTTAGGCACCCAGAACATGTAGCCAGATGGGAAAAAAGTCCTTGTATCATGCCACGTGACCAATATTATGCCAAATCACCCAATTTAATTGTTGAATATTCACACTATTAACTATTATCCTCAATCTGACATTTAATAAAAGTATAAAAACTAGCTGAAATTATGGCACAGTGATAAAATCCTTAAAATTGACATAGAATGGTTCCAACCTTCAACTCTAACCTGAAATTAATCATTGTACCTGTACAACTGTCAAAGTCAGTTATTGAGTGGCAGGCCTGATTGTGCTAAGTATACATATTGTAATTTTGGCCTTAGCACTTTCTTAATAAAACTTTACCACCTTATCAGAATTTTGGAAAAAAATAAGCCATAAGATTCTTTGCTGTGGGTAAGAATGCTAACAATCTGTGTAAAATTTGCTTGTGTTCAGTTTGTTGTCGAAGGATGTAAGCATTCATTTAGATGTTCCTGAGAACTCAGCAGGTGAAGTGGCTGCAGGAAAAGACAGACGGGAGTGCAAAGTATCAACACTTGAGGTAGAGATGAGTGCAATGTATCAAATATGCTGAGGTAGAAGTTGATCGAGGGGGTGACTTGTGGTGCAGCTTAAGGCTGTTTATGATAGAAAGAGCTGGTTTTGGAATCCAGGGAAACTTTGGTTATATTTGTCACTGAGGATGCCCCAACACTAACAACTTCATTTCACCAATTTGTTGTTTTCAATGGTTATGTAGATGTTCTGTTAAGCAACTCAGGGGCCTGCTGCTCCGGGCAGAAGTCAAGGAATGGATCTTCGGGGTTGAATAAGGGCTAATTGTAATATAAGATGTAAAAATGCAAGCCTTGTACTCAATGTGTATCAATAGTTGTAGTTAGTTATAGCAGTTAATTATTATTGTAAGCCTTGATGTTACAGATTGGACAGTCACGAAGAACAGCCTTTTCATTCATCTTTCATAACCTTCTCGGTTGATTCTGTTCTTTCTTTTTCTCATATTTTATTTTCTTAACGGATTGAGGCAGGGACTTGTTTTCAGATATTTTTCAAGTGCTCAATGGTATTCCGTTCAGGTATGACTTTGAGATTTCAATTTTCATGAAGGGGATTTGTCTATTTGATAACAATATTAAACAAAAAGTATTTGACACTTTTAATATTGTTCTTATTATTTGATAAATGAATTTTATTTATTTATTTTTTAAAAAATAGACATTTTAACATGAAATAAACAATAATATCATTATTATTTATAAATATATAAAGTAACCATATATCATAACTTAGTCACTAGATTTTTTTTAACTATATATATATATAAACAAAAAAAGGAAAGAAAAAATAATTTGTAAAAATATTGAGAGTACCCATTTATGATTCTGCCACTTGTAAATATAAATTAAAAAAAAGCTAAAATACTAAAAACTTTTTATATTATTTCAAAATTTTTAAAGTATTAATTTTATTAATTAAACCTTAATTTTGCACAAAACCCAATAAAATCTATTCTTCTATGATATCGACAATTTACATGATCATTATCTCTCTTGTCAATGTCGACTGGGTATATATATGACAAAAAATATTTTCACAAATTTTAATGTGGTGTACGATGTAAATATCACCTTCTTATAAATTTTTGTATTTTGCTTTATGAACGTTAATTTGACCAAAAAAAAAACAAATAACGTAGACATTAACATGCTTAAAATTAATGGATTTTAGTGATTTATGTGTAAATAAAGATTTAATTAAATAAAATTAAAATTTTAAAGACTTAATTAAGTATAAGATTTGGGAAAAGTAGAGGGACCTTGTTAATTTTTTAACCATAAAAAGCAAAAGCTTAATATATGCCAAAGGTTGGAAAACAACAATCTATCTTGACCGTCCAGTCCGGTTCCTTAAAATCCCAAAAGTCCACGTCATCAATCCGAGTCCCTAAAAGACCAACCAATCACCTCTCTTCCTCTCCTTCTATATAAACAAACCCCACTTTCCCACCACTTAAAAATTTCGATTTAGCAGAAATGGCGCCAAAGGCAGAGAAGAAGCCAGCGGAGAAAAAGCCGGCGGCGGCGGCGGCAGCGGCAGAAAAAGCTCCTGCTGCGGAGAAGAAGCCGAGGGCAGAGAAGAAACTCCCAAAGGAAAGTGGATCAACGGCCGACAAGAAGAAGAAAAGAGCGAAGAAGAGCGTGGAAACGTACAAAATCTACATATTCAAGGTATTAAAGCAGGTTCATCCAGACATAGGGATATCGAGCAAGACAATGGGGATAATGAACAGCTTCATTAATGATATCTTCGAGAAGCTTGCTCAGGAAGCTTCAAGGTTGGCTCGGTATAACAAGAAGCCGACCATTACTTCGAGGGAGATCCAGACGGCGGTTAGGCTTGTTTTGCCTGGAGAGCTCGCTAAACATGCTGTTTCGGAGGGGACTAAGGCTGTCACTAAGTTTACAAGCTCCTGAAAGGGATTTTTCTGAGGGTATTTTGGGAAGTTTGATTTTGGGTTTGGGTTTTCTAGTTGTAAAGGTTAAGATTATGTTTTCAGATATTAATGCTGTAACTTTTAAATATCAATTGATGCCCAATTTCGATTCTAATTCTAAATTTCTAATATTTAATTTTTTTTTAAATAGTGCACAAATTTGACTATATTTTAAGGATTACTTCGGATATTTTTATTTAAAAGGAAATTTTAATTATATATTTATTTTTATAAATGAAAAAAATTTAAAACTTAATTTTCATGTAAGAGATAAATATATTAATTATTAAGCTAAAATGCTAAAATGTATGATTTATCCCTTAACGAGAGGACAAATCTGATTCTAATCTTAGAATGTAATTTCTAAAATCTTTTTTATGGCTTTTTTGTTTTCGATAATCCATTATTATTCCGAGCACGTGAGTCTAACGTGCACTGTGGTGATCAGCTGTGAGACGCCTGCAGCAGAAACCACGCTCGCAAGCCTCTTATCCCTCAAAAGAAAAGCCAGTGTCCGAAGCAAATATCTGTTCTATCTCTCTCTACTTCGGAGTCGGGAGCTTCTTTTCCGACGTCGTATTCAACATGGCTTTAGGATTTTGTCCATTCAATTCAACACGGCTAGCCTCCCTCCCGTTCCCTTCAGAAAATGCCCTTAAAACCTCCAAAAATCCTCTCTACATGAGCACGGCGTCGCTTAAGTTGCTCTGTGTTCGGGCTTCTGCCTCGAACTCCGCCTCGAAAGCCCGTTTCGTTGCGCGTCGGAAGGAGTCCGTTTCGGTTCGGCAGTTGAAACGCCCTCTAAGTAAAAATTTATAGTAGTGTATTTTTGGACTAATAGTTCTCAGTTTGGTTGTTTGTTTCTTGCTATTTCTTCTTGAAGTTTATAATTTTATAAGATTAATTGTGCATTTAAAGGGAAATTATTCTAATACGTAAGATATAATCCATTGTGTTTGGTAGGAGGGAAAGTGGAAGGGAAAATTACTTTCTTTTCATCCTTTCCTTCATTTGGTAGAAAGGAAATAGCTGCATTTGCCTCTTTTCCTTCCTTTCAAATCCAGTTCTTCTGAAAATGGGGGAAAACACCTATTTCACTTAAATTAACAATTACAATTTTACCTCTAATCTCTTTCTTCCCCTTTACTTTCAATCCTTCCTACTACCACAATGAAGTAAAAATAACTTTCCTTCCTCACTTTTCTTTTCTTCTTCCCTTTATTTTCCTTTCTTCTTACCAGACATAGTGATCGTAGACATGGCACACTTATAATTCCGCATGTGAAGTTTTCATAATGTATAGAATAATTGATTAAAATAATTAATTAAATTGTAATATTAATCATAGCATAATTAATGTATATACAAGTATATCATGCAGCTTCTTTTTTTTTTTTAATTCATATTCGTTTAAAGTTTTGGTGCCTTTTTTTCATTAGCAAAAAGTAAGTAGCGAAAGTAGCAGACGGATGGAATCTTAAACTTTGTTTTTCCTTTTTCAATTTGTTTTATTTTGAGTTTATTTTAAGTGGGATTTTTTTTTAATGGTGCAGTTGAGTATATGCGCCTACCCGCAAGCCAATACTCGGTGCTGGATGCAGAGAGGATAGAGAGGATAGATGATAATACGTTTAGGTGCTATGTGTATAGGTTCAAGTTTTTTAATTTTGAGGTTTGCCCTGTTTTGCTTGTTAGGGTTGAAGAACAGCCTAATGGCTGCTGTATTAAGCTCTTGTCTTGTAAGGTAACTTGAAAGTTTTATTACATTGAATTTGTTTGGTTTCTCATATATCTGGTTGAAAGAGAATTTGTCTAGGAATAGGTAATTTTCTTGCACAGTTGAACTGATTGAAAAAAAATTGTATTTTATATTGGTCTTTAGCGTACAATGTCACTTTGAATATGGTAACTTTCGAGGTATTGAATGCATAACTTTTGTTGAAATGACATCTTTACCTGTGTCTTAAGGGCACAGTGCTTGGAAAACCTCTTTAGATGTGGAAGGAAAGAAAATAACTGGCATTGATGGGTATGTTGTGGATGTTAATAGATAGTTGATGTATTTTGATAATGTTGTAATGTTTGCTACACTGGTTGCAGCTCGACGGTTCACCAATTGTGGTTGCGCAAAATGATAAGTTTGATGGTAAGCATCTTTCTGTGGCTTTTCCATCCAAGAATTCATATTTTAGTTTACATAATGTTTTTTTTTTCATTTGGAATATTTAATTTGATGAATGTGCAAAATGATAAGTTTGATGGTAAGAATTCTTATTGCACACATGATCATGCAAAATAAAAATTGTTGTATTAGATCTCTTGATGATTTGCATCTGCAACAACCAACAAGACGTGTTAATTGATTATGCAGGAGAGGTCCTGAGTTGAACCAATTCTGGTTCAGGTTTTTTATGACTTCTGTAACTGGAAGTGCATCTTGAGTTATTGGATATTATGCACTAAGGTTAATTAATGATAAATAAAGAGTTATTCTCAATTGCTATTTTCATTTTAGTTGAATCTTGTTGTCTTGGTGTTTTCCTTGTTATATATATTGATATTGAGCCAGGGTTGCTCAAAGTAGTATGGAAATGATTTATAGCAGTGTCATTCAAAGAATTATAGTACTGTGTGCATACTTTTTCTCACATTGCTTTAGAAAAGAAAAAGGCAATGAGACTATTATGAAAAATGAACATCTCAAAATTATAGGTGTTGGACCAATGTTTTTTGATTATTTTTTGTTTTAATAGGATAAATTGAATTATGTAGGTGTCCTGCCACTTTTACCCACATTTATTTTAATTCATTTTAAAGCTAACAGATCATCATAAGCTTTTTTTAATTCAAATCAAAGCTACAGATTCTGCAACTTGTTATTGCATAGTTGCAAGCTACAAAAGAGTGGTCATGCTTATTCCATTATACAAGAATTTTTTGTTAATGAGGTTGCAAAATAGTTGATTTGATATGTCTGCTTTTTATTAACAAGCGATCATATATTGGTTCTGATTCCTTCTATTTAAAGATAAAATCATTGCTCCTCTTGACCTCTTTGTAGCATATTTTTCTTCTCTGGCATAAGATAAGTTCCAGTTAAAGAAAAAGATGGTTGAAAAAAATTGAATCAAAATTGGCTATTTTGCTATTTATGAGAATAAAAAATTTTTAAGCATGTATTTGAGTTCTAACATGCCTCTTTTTAACTAATTAATTTTATATAGCTTTCATCTAGCTTGTCATTTGGTCACTGCATTTGCACTTGGACTTCACATTGGTAGACCTTTAGGTTGTCTTCTCTTCCTCTTTCTCTGACTTCCAAATGGTCATATGCTATGTTTTAACCAGTAGAAATTGCCTCATTAGCTATCTTTGTCGAAAGACTTTTTATGTGTGTCTGTGTGGCAATACAGCCATCTTTGTTCTGACAAAGTGACATTTATTTAAATTTCTAAGAAATGTGTTTTACCTCTATCATCATTAACATAATAAAATCTTTCTTTTCTGCACAATCCCATTCTTTCTCTGTTATTTGGATGTCACCTTGCCAATTGATTGGATATACTTAGCTCATTGGCACTTGTTTGAGTGTTTCAGCTGCCTGTACATAGTGGTTTTCTGATAAGCTAGGATGTTGACTATTTTGTGTAGCTAATAATTTTTTTTTTTTTTTGGGTTCGGGGGTGGTGAATATGGTACATTGAACAATGCTCCGCTGCATGATGCCTAGGAATAATATAACTTCCTTAGCATCATAATTCATTTGAGTTAATTAGACCTAAATTAAGGTGCATGGTTCTTTCAGGAGTGCTTTGACACTGATTTGATATGGGAATGCAGCTTCTATGGTGAATCAAATATCTTGTGATGCCAACCGAAGTGGCTCATTAGTTCAAGAACTTACATCAGATGCAGTTATTGAGGTATCATTTGCAAATTATTCTTTTTTAGCACCATGGCATTTCATAGAAGGGCATCTTTTTCTTGCTGTAATCTGTGTTGTTCTGTTTAATCTAGGTTAGCATTGAGGTTCCTTTTGCGTTTAGTCCAATTCCTTTGGGAATGATTGAATCAACTGGGACCCAAGTCCTTGAACAAATACTTAGGCTAATGCTGCCCCGCTTTATGGCACAGGTTTGTAGAATATTACTTAAATTCTTTTGCACTGATTAAGAAGAAGCAGGATTGTTGAGGATTTGGTGTTCTTCACTTATGCATTTTGTTCCATATGGTGTTATAGCTCCTGGGTGTTTTCATGCTTGTTAAATTTGAAAGACCATGCTTGAGCTTTAATATGCAGAACCTCATCATTCACTTGTTTTAATCTCCCTAAGTTTTCTTATCAATATCAAGAACTTTTTCACCAGATAAGGTAGATCATAGATCTAAACAATCATGATGTTGCAAAGGAATTTGTGTTCAAAAGTGAGGAAGATGGAATGACAATTTTACTAGCAATCTAATTGGCCTACATGAAGTGGAATGTGGATATGTAAATTTAGTCTGTGGGCAGATTGAGTTTTTCTCAGGTCGGTTATTCTAAATCTCATTGGTAATAACTGCAGTCAGTATTTTGTTGAATGGATGAACCAAATATCATTTAGCCATTTGGCGATGATAGTCTGGTATGGTGGTAATTCATAATAATCTTTGGCTGTTGAAAGTAAGGTGTATAGTCGAGTATAAAAGTGGCAATATTCTGCTTTTGGCTGCCTTCAATGATAGTGGATGGTCTATCATCACTAATCCAATGGTTGCAAAAGCATTTAGTCAATTAGCAACACCATGATCAACATGGTGCAAACAGACCAACTCAATCAGTCTGTACTTGTGGCTCTATGTATTTGATGCACATATCCACTTTTGGCATTATGTTTGAAGAATTACATGTGAATTTTGGAGTAAATCATGATGCTCTACTGTTTTAGCAAATTTGTTGTTTCATTTTCAGCTATTTATAGTTCACTTTCTAGACTCTCATATCTGTGGCCCATGAGGTCCAATTTTCAAATCAAAATTTATATTGGATTATCACGTTAATGATATCTGTCAAATGAATAGAAAGTAAAAGTTTTATATTTTTGTTGAGTGTTTAATTTATTTGTTAATGGTTGAAATCATGTTTAGGAAGTTATTTCTTGGAATTGTCTTTAAGACTATCTATAAGCTTGTAGTTCTTGAAGCCTCTACTTTTTCATTGTGAAGTTTAGCCAAGAGTCAGGTTTATAATGCTTATATGAGTGGGAATGATGTTAGAGAAGCCCTTTGGTCTGAAACTATTTTCTCAGCAGGTTTCATTTTTGGAATGAGTTTTTCCTCTTAAACAAATCAAGTGTGTACATGATTACACGAATGGCATCAACAAATAGCTGCTGGTTGAATGGTGTTCCAGACTATTCTTTTTTTGTTTGGTTTTAGCCATCCTTACTGACTGCTGACTCCCAATTGCCACAAGTTATTATTGAAGTAGCATTCTACTTTACTGGTATGAATTATGTCCAACTTATCAGATTAAACTGTATGGACTGGTCAGTTGTAAGTGGTGCTGTACATCACCAGAAAGCTGTCTGTCCTGACATATTTCCTCTGAAAAGATAAAAGAGGTTAGAGATAAATTGCAGAGGGGGAGAAGAATAATGCATGCTAGAGAAAGAGAAAGACAAACAGCGAAAAATGGTGGCTGCAGTAGGTGAGAGGAGCAGGAGAAACAGCTGCTATCATCCACATATCTACTGGATGAGTGTTTTAAGGATTTCTAATTGTATGTATCAGATTGTGAAACACAGTTGGGTTCACACTCCTTTACTTCTATATTGTACATCACATATCTTGACTACTAAATGCTTTGTTCATTGTGGAATTTGTGACTATCAGGTGCTAGCTGCGCTTATAGGAAAAGGAAAGATAGGGTTTAGAAAATGCTAGATTGGCTTTAGTTCTTTTTTTTTTTTTTTGAGTACATGGTCAGTTTGTAGCATTTGATTTTGCTCTTTGGCTCCAGAAGTTTGAGAAATTGAAGTCTCCAAAGTGACAAACAGTTAAGATTGACAAGCAATATTTTGTATCTCTGGCATGCGTTAGAAAAGATTTGTGGAACAATAGAAATAGCTACTGACAGTTAAAATACTCTTGGATGCAGCATGAGTGTCCATTATTATTTCTTCTTTTCTTTTTTGAGGGTAGGGGAAATTCGCCATTTGCATGGGAAGGGCCAGAAGGGGGCGGGGGGGTTGGTGTCGAGAGTACTGAATGAGCAAATTATGCTGTATACAATCATGTTAAGAATTATGAAATGATACTGTTTTCATTTTTCTTAATGTGACACTTGCAACGATTGCTGCGTCCTCTTAATTGGTTTATTTTGAGTGCAAACTTTGCAAATTGTAATATGAAAATATGAAGCAGCAGATCCAACTTACACAAATGAGCTTTCTGCTTTTGAAAGACAGTTCTGATATACTTTCATTGTTTTGCAGCTTGTTAAAGACTATCAAGCATGGGCTTCTGGTGATGCCTCAAGGCAACCTCTTGGAACTGGTGAGATTTGAGAGTAAGAGGGAAAAGATTTACTTGCACTCTCTTTGAAATCATCTGCTTCTTCGATTTTGCCAGCATACATAGTTGTACAATAGGCGCATGTCAGAATATCTCTGCTCTAGGTGCACCGATTTACTTGGATTGGTTTTCATTAGGGAGGGAAAAATCATTTAAGATATTCTTTGTATTTAATGTGAATGACAGATTCTAATTACAACTTCCTGTAGTCCCAGTTTCACTTCAATCTATTCCAATGATGACTGGAATTCTAATGACTGCAAACTTTTTCAAATTTTTTTCATGTATGAGAACTTTCTTTGTGTCGTCTTTTGATTTTTTGGTTGGATAAATAAGGAGAGATCACTAGGCTGCATATACAACATCAACAAATTACTTTTCAAACGATGCATTCATCAATAGAGAAACATTGAGATGATGCAGGAAATGAAATTTTGGATTGGAAATTGACTACTTTCCTGCATACCGGTACAATATTCATGGCTCTACATATAGCAAGAGCAGATTTGTTCGGATGGAGTGAAGCCCATTAGGACTGGAGAATAGGAGCAAACCCAGCCTGATTCATTTCTCCAGAGAAACAAAGACCCCCATAGTACGGTAGGTGGGAACGTGGACATGGTTGGTTAGAGTAGGGAAAGCCAAACCTTGAGGCATGCATGGTTTAGGTGGGAGTAAGATGCTTGTTTAAACACAATTTTCTAACTTTAGCTCAACATTTGGTTTTTCTTTGGATACAACTGAATAAAGCCAAAAGGAAGTAGACTTTTTCGTATATTTAATCCTTAACTTAATATTGAAAAGGTAACAATCACTTGATTAAAGCTTTTGGTAATAGCTGCCTCACCTGTAAAACCCCATTGTCTTTGATTCATATTTTAAGGGGGTTATTAGAAGATTATATTTGATGTAATATTTTTAATATATTGTCAGGTTATCAAAATATACCACTTCATTAATGAAGTAAAAATAAAATTTTTTAAAAACTTAATAATATAATTACTATTTAATGGGTGCATAAATTAATTTTTTTTTTTTTTAACGATGCTCTCTTTAATTAGTTTATCAAAGGCAATATATTCTCACTGTATCTTTGAATATCACATTTTGTTGATCTGACAGTGTAAGTGTCAATGCATCATAATATATAATCACCAAGTGGCTAAGTCGTAGCCCAAATTTGACCCACCGACACCATAGCATTGAGCAAGCTACTGGTCTAATAAGATTAAAGTTGGGCGCTGCCTTTACTTTGTGTGTTAAGTTAACAATATAAGTACAACATCTTCAATTAAGTAAAGAAAAAAGGAGAATATTTTCAATCTTAAGGGGAAAGATTTGATGTCTGCTGTCGAAATCGGTCGGACAGTCAGTTTGTTGGGGCTGTTCAACAATTTGTCATCAGAATGGATGGAAGATATTATGAAGGTCAAGAGGAAGTAATTAGATTTCCAGTAGAATAAGTAGCAGGTGATTAGGTAGGGCCATGGATATCTCACCAAATCTATGCAATGTCCCCCTCTTCATCAGTAGACTCCATAACCAAATAGAGCAAGACAAGGAGGGGCGTCCAAATGACCCCCAAAGTGATGGTCAAGTCTTTCACTTCACATTAGTGGCACTGTTGAATAAGGCACTCTTCTTTTTTTGGTCAATTCCAGGGCTTTCCTAATTTCCCTTTGGAACAACCAACAGGAAAATGCCATTGTCACAAAGGAGGAAAATGAGAATAGAATTAGACATCTTGACGTTTTCATGCAATCGTTTTTCTTTTGATGTTGATTCTTGTCTGACCATAAACCCTTTTTCTCCCTGCTTAGCTACTCTACTTATATATAAACAGGTTGGTTTGGCTTAGTACTTGGTCCTAGAAATTGAAGACAATCAAGTATGTTCATTTGAGATAAAATTGTTTGAGTTATTGTCCTATATCTGGTGATGAAATTTGCGGTTTCACAAAAGGAAATATTGGAGCATTGCTTCAGCATGTACTCTATGTATAGAGCATAAAAACCCACAGAGAAGAGAAACATGGTGGTGAAAAAAGGAAGAATAAAGAGGACATGTTGTCATTCTCATCCTGCCTCAATGAGATGAGGATATGAGAGTTACAACAAAAGCATGGTATTGTGTTGCTTTGTATTGAATGTGAAAGATGAAAGATAGATTGGGTGGGTGACAATGTTAGGTCTAGTATTTTAGGAAGTAGGGAGGGAGTTTTCAAAAATCTTACACCGAGCCTGTAAAAGAGTTCTAAGTGACTTATAAATAGTATCGTTGTATACCTCAATAAGTTAATTTTTTGAAAAGATAGTAATGATTTTGCAACAATTAATATTTTTTTGATAGGGTTTCGTGGAGAGTTAAAAAATCACTAATATAGAAATGTAAACAAAAAATTATTTACTTTTTCTGAGATATTCGATTTTGAAATCGTTTAATTAAGAAAGTAATTGAACTTTATTAAAACTCGAGTAAAATAACATAAAATACTATTCAAAACCAAACCTTAACTCGAACCCTATGTTATTCCCATATAGTAGCAACACATTTACATCCTTACGCTAGTAGGACAAATTGAGATAAAAATTTTAAGCCAAAAATGTAGATTTTTTTTTTGGCTTTGGCACAATAATTCTGAAATTTTGCTTCTAAATTTCTCTACAAACCTATGTTCTTTGCCAGAAAGAGAAAGAAGGGAACTACTGTTATTCTCATCCACATAAAACATGTGAAAATGACAGTTAACAAACTCTCATTTATGAGTGAAGTCATTGATTGGCCTAAAAAATAAACAATTTCTGGTTTTTTTATCAGAATAATAATTAAATTATCCGATAAAAAGAGCTGCGCATTATTCCCATGGATACGATACCATTAGTTTTGTTTAAAACAAGTTTACATAGTTTAAAAATTAGCTGTGTAGTAATTTCATACACTTCAAAATAAAATATCATTTTCATAATAATTATATTCTTAATAATTACTTTTTTAATAAAATATCAAATGCCACCTTAATTCAAAAAAAAACTCAATTAAATTTACAAGTTGCTTATATTGAGTATTAACTTATCCAAATTTGCTTGAATTAATCGCAGTCTTATCCTGTAGAGAGAGAGAGAGAGAAAAAAGATTACAGAAAGAGCCTTGGTTATCGACTGCCAGCTCAGTGTTGCATGATAGCCTAAAGGTGGCATGGAGAGAATTGGGAGTTAGGCCAAGGATTTAGTGGTTGTCGTAGCATGAAAAGAGAAGCAAACAATTCTGTTGAAAATGTAGCCAACCACAAAGTGCTAAGCCTATATCCAATTATTTACATAACTTCAATTAGCAAATCAACAAAACAGGAGAAGCATGAAGGGCTCAAAAGGGAAGAAAAAAGAAGCACTTTTTTTCTTTCCCTATTTTAGCTAAAAAGGGATGGCATATTATTCCTCCAACCAGTACCAGACACTGGAGACTCCCAAGTGATATATATATATATATATATATATATATATATATATATATATATATTGCCTTGGACCCAATCATATATACAGTTCTTCTTTCATTTTCAACACTCAAATAAATAAATAAATAAATAAAGTCGATCTTGTCTCGATGATAAGAAGGAGAATTTGAAATATCGAGGTTGCAAATTCAATTCCCATCATGTGAATTTACGTTGGATTTTATCTGATTATATGCTAAATTTATTGATTTATTTGTTTGGTTTCTTACATTGGATGTGATAGTTTATATTATGATTGTATGCAATTTTTACTTGTTAATGTAATCTCATAGAGATATTAAGAATTGAAAATCCCTATCAATAACTTAGGATTCTGATCTTAGTTTCAACACCTTTGAAACCCTAAAAATAACCATCAAAGAGACAATGTCATCTGTTTCCTAGACAAAAGCCACCAATTGTGACCCATTGTTATTGTCCATGGTAGACCAACCCCCAATGTAACTCCAAAGGGTGCAATCCCTTGTGGGAGAAATGATTTTCTGGATTCTTGGGGATGGGGTTTTGCTAAAACCTTAGAGAATGATGGGAGAGATGGAGAGGAGACAACTTGCATGGAGATGGAAAATTTTTGAGTGACACTTAACCTGACATTACTTAACTCTTTTCTTTATCTCAATGCCCTTTGTCTGCATTCTACTGGACATATATAAATAATTGTCCTTCAATTAGGGTTCAGACACTTATTATACCTACCATGTGGTTTACTACTTTAAGGTTAACATATATATAATACATGCCCACACCTATACAGCATTGTACAATGCTTCTCTCTGTTACTTTTAGTACTGTTTATAGTCAATTTACATAATATTAATACTAGTTTTTCATTGAAAATTTCAGAATCCCAATTAGAACTTGAAATTCTGATTCAAAGATTTTAAATTGAAATTCTAAGGGTTATATCTTGTTGTGTATCTCAAGAATCAATTATTCTTCTATGCACTCAAAAAAATAGATATAGTGTTGATAAATAAATATATTAAGATCTTCAAATTACAAATGTAAACAAATATATCAAAAACATTGATAAAAATTATAACTCATCATGTCCAACATTACTGTTGATGTTTATAAATTTGTAATTCAAGTCTCTCAAATATGAATGATGACAATTAATAATGTATGGGTGCATTTGCTTATTACTAATTAATCTTCAAGTCTTGCAAATATGAATTAAAATACTAAATATATTGATTATTACTGCTTTGCAATTGATCAGCATGCCCATGCAATAATTAAAATTATACAATTTTAAAAGTATTTCCATTTTAGATAATGATGGAAATAAAGAGGAAAAAATGAAGTGGGAGCAAGCATTATATAACCACCCCTCGAGAAGCACCTACATGTCCATAACAGGGGCCCCCATATATCTTATATATTTCATCCTTATCTTATAAAATAAAAGATATGTATTCTACAAATTAATCATGTAAATATATATATCCATTTCAAAAAAAAAATTATCATATGTAACAAAACAATTTATTATATGTATACGTGTCAATCATATAATCTGGTAAGTGAAATTTAACATGCTGGAACATGGATAGAGAGGAAGGGACGCAGCATGTCGCCATGCACGTGGGCTCCATGAAGAACATTCCTCTTTAGTCAACTTTATTGATCCAAGGCATGACTCGTTTGCAAAATGCCAAATTGACAGAGGACAATTTGATTTGTACTATTATACTTTTTTTAATAATTTATTGGCTGAATAAAATCGAATTTTATT